GTATATTTTTTGCATCAAATAACTATAAAACTTTTCGGCATACTAACAGGTATGCCAGAATAAGTGTTTTCTTAATATCATCGTCAAGTTTTCATACTCATACCCTTAAGGAATACCTTCTCCACTCTTTTCCAGGTTTTCTGAAGAATAGCTCATTAAAAATATTTGAAATTTCTAGAATAGATAGATCTCAATGACGAGAGCAAAAGTTGTTATAGACTTCAAATTCTAGAACACTTCCTTCTAGAAAATATCTGGATCGCAAGAGTTAAAAATCGTCTCACTTTCTCAGTCATAATATATTCGATAGAGCTGAGATTTTTTTTCGTACAGATATTAGACATCATTTGAAGTGTATACTTTTTTTTTAGTTTATATTTATCTTCTTTCATTCAAATAAAAAGATCAAAACGATATGTTTATTTTTGTAAAATCTGCCAAAATTCAATAGTGCAAACTATATCGAAGAAACAAGCTCGATTCTGCACTTTTTATGTATAAAACTTGATTTCGAGAATAATGAAAAAACAAATTTTTCTTTATTTATCGGGGATTTTTTCTCCGACTAAGTGATCGAAAACTCGTCGTGTTCAGTAGTATAAATTTGTCTATAGATTTTGGTTTTCTTCAGATATTCATCAAGTCTTAAAATTTATGATAACTTTATCTCAATAGAATGGAATCTTAAGTTCAGTCGTACACTTTTTGGCTTACATTTATTTTTATATTAATAAATTTTTCTGAGAATATTGTACATTTTTTATTCATTCTTTATACAAATACAAAACAATGTCTATTGTCATTCACATAGTAGGACAAACATTTTTATGCAAAGATAAACTCAACGAGCTTTTTTCTAATTTGTACATATATTATTTTTTTAAAGATCCTTGCAAAGTGATGAATATCTAAACATTACTCATAGTTATTACATACGTTAAAAGAAGGAATGTTTTTTTTTTGTCTTTTGTATACACTCCAACGATGAATAGATGATAATCTTCGTCTACGAATTAAAATAATAATACAGAAAGTTACTAGAAGATTTTGATTAATATTAAATATTCTATTTTTCTTAGTAATCATTTGACTATATATAATAGCTATTGAATATTGCTTAGCAAATAACAAGACAGTTGTATGCTATTGATAGGATAGAATAAATTATTTTACAATTTATACAGTACTCGAAAAAAAAATGTATGTTTTACTTGAGAAAGTATGTTTCATTATTATTGACGATATTAATATTTTATGCTTCAATATGTATCACCATTATGGTATATACATATATTAAACTGTCATTAATTAATGGATTTTTTTATTCTCATCGAGCAAATTTGCTGGTTTTTTGTTAAATTATTGTTTGAGAATGTTGTATTTCATGAAGATAATTATTATATTTTGATCATAAGAAAAACTCTAAAAAATACAGTAGAAAAAAAAAAACAACAAAGTCTATCATTCTTCATAACAATGGGACGTATTGTTACCAAATAGTTTGATTTTTTGTAAGATTTCTGTTCCAAGTCAATGATTTCGGTGCGTAAATCTATGAGTTAACTCGGAGAAATGGTAGGAACTTGGAAGCACGAGGATCCGCTGACTGGATTTTTCTAGTTCCAGTCGAACATTGCTCGTATTTCTTGACCTGAAGGTTTTTCATGGAGATATTTTCTGTCTTCCTCGAGAGACTAACGGCGGAGAAATCGAACTTGAAGACTTTGGAAAAATTTTGAAATCTTGAAATTCAGTGTTCTCTCCTCAGCATGTGCATGTTGATTTGAGTACTTTTAATAATGCTTTATGGTTAATTAACTATTTTAAAAAATACTCTACTTTTATAGATATGCGTATTTATATTCTATTTATGAATATTTAAATCCAGAAAAATCATTTAATGAATTTTTCTTTTTACTACATGTTATTTCTCATTTTTTTTTGTCGACTTATTTATCATAGATGAACTATATTGTAATTGTTTCAATTTTTGTGAAACTATATCAACTGTAATCAAGTTGTGTCATGGTTTATCAATTCATTTTTTAATTTCACACATGTTAACATTAACCTATTATGTGTATACAATGTATTATACGTGCAAACGAAGTGAAGAATTCCGTCTCTCCTCATGCTAAAATTTGTAGTGCTATATCATGACTTTTTTAGAAGATATTCAACAAACAAGGATAAAAAATAGATCATTTAGCAATCCGAAATTCTCTTTAGATTCACATTCTACATGGAAGAGTATGTTAGACTGTAATGTCTGACAGAGTTCTTTTTGCTTTAACTGTCACTAATTGTGCGGAGAAAAAGAATGAAAAGTTCAATGCTTAAAAAAACTCTCAAAAAATGGTTACTGATTTATAGAACCACTTTTTTTAATGTAATAATAGAAAGGTTTCATTGAAAAAACGAGCACTGTAGCTTCGTATGCTCTTCCAAATGAAAAAAAAAGCAACTGGTTATAATGAAACTTCCTCAAGAATTCTGGAATGCACTACCAAAAAAGTGTAAACAGAGAAAAAATAAAAAGCATTTTTTTTCTAGCAGATGATGATAGAAATCATCAAAAATTTTGGCAAATAAAAAAATGTCAAATAAAAAATCATGTTGTTTAGAAAAGATCAGAATTCTAGCTATTTTACCATGCATTTATCTCAATTTTGATTTTTCTTATGAACAGTGACTTTTTGTTAGGAAGGCATTAAATTATTTTTAAATATATTATTGTTATTTTGAATTTTGTAACTTGATTAACTATGTCACATGCACTGATTCCTATTGCATATACTGTTTTTGAACATCTTCTATTATGGACACTTCCATCTGAATGACTTATGACGGTAGTGTCACTTATTGATGTTACAATTATTCAAATATTTATGTTCGTTTTAGAAAGAAAAATTCATTGTTTATGACTTAGAGAAAATATTGCACAAGTATATATTCAAACACAAATAAACAATTCGAAAATTCAGTTGTCTTTTAGATGCTAGTAAATGAATTCATCTTCAATAGTTGAATCTTTCAATTTATAATTAATAATTTTCCATTTTAATTAACGAGGGGAGTACCCGAAATGGTTCACCGCTTTTGAGCTTATATTTTGGGAATATAGAGGAGAACTCTAGGCTAGAACAATCCTAAAACGATTCGGATCCATAGACCTTCTCTACAGAGTTATAGCCATTTTACTTGAGTTTTAGCCTATGACACGGTATGTACAAACAAAGCGACTGACGATATTTCGATTTGAAATTTTGTCCACAGATAGGTCTACTTGTAATTAAAATGCTCTGAAAATTTCAGCTCAAAAGAATGTTTCCTTTGCAAGATATTGAATGTCGATAAAACATGAGATTCTCGCATCTTTTATGAGATCCGAGTGATTTTTAAAAAATCAATATCTTGCGAAGGAAACATTTTTTTGAGCTGAAATTTTCAGAGCATTTTAATTACAAGTAGATCTATCTGTGGACAAAATTTCGAATCTAAATACGGTCAGTCGATTTGTTTGTACATACCGTGTCATAGGCTAAAACTCAAGTAAAATGGCTATAACTCTGTAGAGAAGGTCTATGGACCCGAATCGTTTTAGGATTATTCGAGTCTAGAGGTCTCCTCTATGCGCCCAAAATATGAGCTCAAAAGCGGTGAATCACTTCGAGTACTTCCCTCATTTGGTTGTTTCAGCGAAAAACATCACGCTATGCAAAAAATTATTCAAACAATAGCGAGGTAGAGCAGATGATACATTACGTGTAATCTTCTGCCCGAGAAAAGAAAGTGTTGTTCTATTGAGTTTCTTATTAAAATATGGTGGAATCCATTGCCTCGAATGTGTTAGTATAATATTAAAGAACATCATGATTAAATATTCATTTAAATCTTAATTGAATTTTTTTTTTCTGAATAAAATATATCATCCGTATTTATGTTATTATGAAAAAGAATATTTTTTTAAGATCATCACCTTTTTTTCTTCTATTATCTTAAATGAGCATAGAATTCCAACGAAAAAGTAAATTGAACTCATCTATTTGAATTAATTATTTCATATGATCTAAATGTAATTTGATCATAGATAATTTTACAAAATATTATTTCGTTTATTCTTTCAAAGTTTCATATTATTATTTTAATCCATAAAACAAGTACAGCAGAATAAATGAAGTTCTCAATGCCTTGATCAATTTTAAAAGTTACGAATTAAGAAACCTTAACGTTCAATTCTCTACTAGTAGTACAAAATTCAATTTTCTTGTGTCAATGTATTCTCACGTTGAGATATGGAAAAATGAAACGAGCTGCTTTTATAGAGCTTGAAAAACTCTATCGTATAGGTAGATTCACTGATTGTTACAACAAATCTCATTCGCACAAAACAACACTCTACTTTTTTAGATTTTCACAACAAAAAAAAACATTTTTGCTTTATTTCTCTTGACTGGATTCAAGTAAAAAAGATCCAATATGACAGATTTGGATCTATTGCTTAAACACAAGATTCTCTCTCAATATTTTACGTCGATATTTTGTTTCCTATGCACAATTAAATAGAGCATACTTCATTGCATCTGCAAACATACTTTGAAAGGTTAAAACAATGTTTCATTAGTGAGAAGAAACCGCAAATCAACTTGGATAATAATGTTTTTTGTTTTAACTTCTATGTCATAGGATCTCATTTCATTTAAATAAAAAACGCTATAGATTTATATCTGTCTAACTGATATTTTTTTCTGTAGCCGAAGAAAAAAAATCAATGTGCTTTGCTAAGCGCTAATAGTTTATATTCAATCTTCTGTTATCGTTTCAGGAATTGAATAGATTGTTGCAACATTTAATATATATATATATATGATGTTCATTTCTCACGTGTATTTTACATATATACAAAACAAAAACAAAAAATAAAACTATTAAAAAATTTTATCAATTCTCTTCAATATTCAAAATTCTTTTGTTGTTCACTTTAGTTGACGTCAGAAAAATCAACTTGTTCTAGTAATTCGTGCCACTTTAGATGCAGCAATTGATTCAATCTTTGTTATGAATAATATTGTATTAATTTCAACATTTATTGGATCAGTAACTCGCCATTCAAGAGCATTCATATCATCGCCTGGATGTTTTGTATAAGCTCCTACAGTACCAGGATAAACTGTATAGCTATTACTTTTGATACTGCATTCTAATACAGGTATCAATTGTTGATCGTCATGAGAGAATGATACTGCATATGTTGGATCTGAACTATAATACACACTTGGACTTAGAAAAACACCGGCAGCAAAATCAGAAATACCAAAATATTTTTTTTCACGTGCAAAATGATGTTTTGGTGGATTAATACGTTTTCCACTGGATGTTACTGTACCTGGTATGACTAGTCCATCGTGAAGAATAGATCGAATGACATTAATATTCGTTCCATGATAAGCTATGTGTGGAAACATACTAGAATTATGTTTTCGAAGAACTAAACATTTACAAGACACAGGATTATTTCGTAATGTTAATGGTTGTCCAAGAGCAGCTGCAATAAACATATCTGCTGGTAAAGTAAGTTGATTTGGAATGATAGTAATATGACGAACAAATGCATGAAAACCACTAATCATAGGTAGACGAGTTCGACGAGTGTTAGAACTAAACCAATAAGATGAAGGTGTTGCTAGAGTATATAAACGAACTTCTGGTTCATTAACCATTGATACTATGGGTAGTTCAAGAAGTGTCGAAGTAGATTGATTAAGTGTAATTTTAAAGAGACAAATACATCCAGGTATATGAAATATTTCTGGATCAGGTGTAGAAAGTGTAGCTACTTGAAATTCAATATTATTATTTACAGAATCTTCAAAAAAGCTAAATATTAAATTATCAATTTGAATATTTTGTTTTGTTGTTAAAGGAGCTTTTAATGAAAATAATTTTGGTTTATTACATTGAGAATCAAACATTTTACTAAATTCTCGAAGACTTAATATAGATACTTGATGAGTTGATTGATTATTTTTATATCCATTTGGTAATGTTTTATGACAAATCAAACGAATTGGTGTATCAATAAATTTTGAAGAAACATATCGTGCACAACCAACAGCTGATATAATAGTTGTATCTTCTTCTTTAAAGAAAAGTATACGTCGAGCAATAGAAAAATAACGATATTGATTGTCTGAAATGTTAGATAATGTTGTTAATAGATCTGTATAATTTGATCTAAGTCCAAGTTTAATTTTTACAATAGGTTCTTCTTCTTGACTATCATCTTCATATACATGTATATCAATTAATTTATCACTTGTTAAATTACGTTGATATTGTAATAAGATTTCTTTAATTTTATTTGATGTATATTCATCAATTTCTTTTGATATATCTTCTTCAAAGACATTTACTCCAAAATCATTTTTAATATTAACATCTGCACCATATTCAAGTAGAAGTTCAACAATTAAAACATGACCACGATATTTTGCTCCATGTAATGAAGTACTTTTTGGTTTAGTTTTCATTTGTATATTTACATTAGCACCATGTTCTAATAACCATTTTGCAACTGAATATTGTCCATAACGACATGCATAATATAATAAACTTATACCATTAGAATCGAATATATCTTTTGAATTATCATTGAAATAATAATAAAACCACCAATCTATACCTGTTCGTGCCATTTCAAACATATCACGTTGACGTATATGTTTGAAAAGATCAGTAATTTTTTTACCATGTTTAATACCTTCTTCTTCAGCTGTTGTACCCCATCGATTTTTAATAGTTGAATCACAACCACAATTAAGAAGATAATCAACAATAGTTGTATGACCACCGTAAGCAGCAAGATGTAAAGCAGTATTTCCATTGAAATCAACAAGATCAAAATTAGCTTGATGTTGTTCTACAAGCCAATGTACAAGATCACAATAACCTTTCTTACTAGCACAATGTAATAATGTTTGACGTTGAGCAAAATATTCTGTATCTTGATGTTGTGTTAATCCATTTTTATAAAACCAATCAAGTTCATTGGCAGCTACTCGAATATAAGGAATTTCTTTAAGTTCATTAAATACTTTTTCTACATCATCATTATATGCTTCTTCTTCAGCTGTATTATTACATGAATTTATTATTCGATAATCCGCACCACTTTCCAAAAGACAACAAACAACATCAGCATGTCCATAAAAAGCAGCAACATGTAATGAAGTACTTTTTATACGTTGTGATAAATCAGGTTCAGCACCTTGTTCAGTTAAAAATTTTACTGCTTCAACATTACCAGCACGAGCTGCAGTATAAAGTGTTGTATGACCTGTTACAGGATCTTGAGCATTAAGTTCTGTTAAATTAGCATTTCGTAATCGTTGTTTTAGATCACGTATTAGATCTGGTTCAGCGGCTAACTGTTGTGAAGTATATTTATCGATTGGTAGATCGAAAATCCATTGTTTTTGAGAATCATAAAGATTACGTTTATCGAAATCAGATAATGTTTCATATGCACGGCAAATACGACGAAAATTAACGGCTGATATTTTCTTTTGTAGATGTTTATGAATTTTTTTACGATAAGCTTTTCGTAGTGTAACATAGTCGATATCTTCAGAAACATCAAGTATTTGATAAGGTGTTCTATCGGATGTTGCCATATGAATTAATTTCTATTTATTAATGTTCTGAGAGATTTTTGCAAATATATGTATATATATATGTCTGACGGTACACATTACTTGGTTTTTTCCGATGATGCAGTAAACTTTTGATTCGTCAAATTTTTAAATGACTCATTCGACTTCTGTCAATAAAATAAAGACTGTTGTAATGTTGAATTTTAAATTTTCTTTCCATGTCTATACACTACTCCCTCTAGCAGAAGAATCGTTTGTTTTTGCATATTCTTTTATTTTTCAAATGAAGAATCATAATATTTTTCACAATCATAATGTAGTAAAATTTGTTTCTAGTGATTGATTTCGATCTTTGATTGATATATTAATTTATTGAATTATCTTTTATTTTACTTAAAATAAAATTATATTCATTCTATCGAATGTTTTTTTCTTTATCAAATTTCTATAAAAATTAATTCCATCAATTCTATAACGATTATTATGAAAATATTTTTTTTTTTTTATTAAATTACAAACGACTGCATTCTCCTTTCCGAGTTGATGAACCTTCAACAAATGCACTATGATTAGTATCTTTTCCTTCTTGCTTTGCACCTTGCAATGCATCACTAAAATTGATACTATTACATTTAGTATTTATATGCGAGAAAGAATTTATTAACCCTTTGACGTCCGAATTTTTTCTACTGAACCAAATGTCATGAAACTTGGTGTAAAGTAACTAGATGACATTTGGAAGTAAGTGGTTAAATTACAATTAAAGAAAGTAAATGATTATATAAAAATAAAAACATTTTTGTTATAGTTGCATTTTAATAATAAAAAAAAAATGTTACTATAATTACTGAAATATTTATTTATTTCATTATTAATACATGTAGTTTTCATGATACAATAGAAAACAATTTTTTTACACGCAGATTAAAACAAAAGTTACAAGTTACATTCGTTCTTTTCTCTTTTTCTTTTTGTTCTACAATAAACATATCGACGATAACTTGAAATGACTTTTGGCATATGAGTCAAAAGTTGTGGTTTTTCAGAACTTTTTTCTGTTACTTATGTTCTTTTCGATGCGTCTCTTCTTTTGATTACTTATCGTCAAAGGACATTCTATCCTTTTTCTATTACAATAATTACTTATAAATGCAGTACTAATAGACGAAATATACTCTAATGCATTAATTATTAGAAGGAACGAAGTGTTTATAATAAATGAATGAATTTATTAATGATATATTTAGAAAATGCAAAACTATTCTTATACAGCTTCTCTTTGACTTTCGATCGATTGCATAGCATTTTATTTTCTGATCAGACAAATCGACTCCTCCCATATACCTGTTGTACTGAACTATAGTCAATAGGCAGGGAATTTATTTTATACTTTCATCTTTGTACTAAAGAAACATAGCGCAATGGACTTTTTAATGTTCTTTATATATTGTATCATCTATCTAGTCTTGTGTGGATATCTCCCAGCTTCCAACATTTGTTCTTCAAGATTCTCAGAAACTCGAAGATTTGAAAACTGTCGAGGTGGAAAATATATATCCCACTAAGCCTCAAAAGGTTAAATAAGCTAATTAAATAATTTGTGTTAGTCAAAGATAATCATTAAGTTTAAGAATAGTTCTATCATGAATGCTAAAAAACAAATGAATAGATTTTATACGATACTGTGTTTTTATCTTACTCATATCATTCTCGTCGATCAAATGAATCTAGATTTACTTCTCATGTCTCAATGAAATGCCTATTATATAGTTGTGTATTTATTAAGTCATATCTGAAGAAGAAAAACAAACGAAACTTCATACTTCGATCTTTTTACATGTATGCTTCACTTTCGTATTACCTGCAGTTGTGAAATAAGAATTCTGGACTGATTTATTATATTTTTCTTATGTTACACAGAAATAAAAACTGATTCCGGTTAAAAATATCTTAGGATTAATGAATAAGTACTGAAATATTCTTGACAATGAAATCTCTTATAATGAATTATGCTCGTAAAAAAATAGAAAATAGTATACTGAATAAAATTTACCATCTAATAAAACACGATTCGTCTATCATCGATGAATAAATCACATTCTTCAACCAAGACACAATACTTACAATGGTGAATAGAAATTTTTTTAAAAAGTTATGAACACAAATTGTTCGACTATTTCATCACATATACACTGAGCTATAAGTGATGATTGATTGACATATTGAGAAGATTTTAAATGCTATCTAATTAAATGGTAAGAACCCAACATTGAAGTTTATTACATGATATAGGTTCGGAAAAGCTTTAGATTCAAGAGAGTTTGCACTGTTAGTAATCGCAAAGCTCAGTATTATATAACGATTATAGTAGCATAGCGAAGGCGTATTAATTACTGAAAAGAGTCAATTTCAAAGTTATAGTTAACTTCATAAAAGCTCGAATTCAGCGAAATATATAATTAAAAAAAAAATTCGGAAATAATCGAAACTTGGAATAACTCGTAAAAGTCGGAACTCGTTCGGAAAAAATATAAAAATTCGGAATTTTTCCTGTCATTTCCCGAAGATCGGGCAATTCTGGTCTCGGTTCGCCCGTTGATTTCAGATCCCATCTCGTTTCGGGTCCCGATCTC